ACCATCTGTAAAGAGGTCTGGCGCCCTCTTCTGGCCTTCAGGCATACAGACAGAATATTGTATACATAATAAATAAATAAATATTTAAAAAAAAAGAAATTATCTGCAGAGAGACACCTCTATTCTACTTCCTTTTAAAGAGTATTCAAGGTGAGTCTTAAGTCTACGCTGTACTTATGCATGCAGGGACTCAGCTTTCTCTTCTCCCCTCTCCTTTCTTCCTCGTATCTTCCTGTGTCCTCTCCTTTGCTCGCTCGGTGTCAAGCCTTGGCCTTCATGCACACGAGTATGTGCTCTATGACTGGGTCACATCCCAACCCGTAAATTACATTCCTTTTTTTTTTTTTTTTTTAGTTTTTCGAGACGGTTTCTCTGTAGCTTTGGAGCCTGTCCTGGCACTAGCTCTTGTAGACCAGGCTGGCCTAGAACTCACAGAGATCCGCCTGCCTCTGCCTCCCGAGTGCTGGGATTAAAGGCGTGCACCACCACTGCCCAGCCGTAAATTACATTTCATAGCTGCAGAACCTGCTGATATTTGGTGTAAGGAGTTAGTCATAGGTGTCAGCTGTTGGCACTGAGAGTGCCAGACCTTAGCCAGGTTAGTTCCAGAGGACTAGCACACTTGCTGTCCTCCCCGCCCCATCCTGGTTCATCCGTCCTGAAGGAAAGCAAGCTGTTTTTGAAGTTGTCATCACTGGTCCCCAAAGCAAAGTCACTGACAGGGGGAGGATGCACAGGTGTGTGGCTAACGAGAGGGTGTTACCCCGCTCGTCCTGACGGCTTGCCTGCTGTTTCTGCAGCATCGGGCTCTAATGGAAGAGCTAAACCGCAGCAAGAAGGACTTTGAGAAGATCATTCAAGCCAAGAACAAAGAATTGGAGCAGACCAAGGTACTGGACAGACGAGGGCAGCTTAGCATTGGCACATGCAGCTGGGCATCCCGAGGGCACAGTTGCCGTGGAGAATAAATTCCTTACCTGGGGAGAGGACCTGTGAAGTTCTTAGTCCATACTGCAGCACCTGCTTCCTTCCATGTTCAGAAGCCACGTGCTGGGAGGAGGCCTGCACCCTGTGTCCTGCCCTCTGTGGGGCTCCCTTTCAGGATGTGTCTTCCCCCATCAAATCCATCGAACTCTTTTTTTTTTTTTAAGACTGTTGTCTTCATGATGCTCTGGTTGTCCCAAAACTCGCTCTGTAGACTAGGCTGGCTTTGAACTCAGATCCTCCTGCCTCTGCCTCCTAAACGCGAGGATTAAAGGCATGCACCACCACTGCCCAGCAGAACTTTTAAATTATAAATTACAAGCAAATGCCTACCAGGACCAGACCATAATAAGAGTGAGTGAAGAGGCCTGAGGGTGAGAACTGGAGGAGCTGTGAGGCCATGCTGCTTCCTGACCCCTCCCAGAAGACAGTGCTTTTTCACCCAGTCAGTCACAGCGAGAAACGCAAGCCCGGGCTTGTCAGAGCTCACTTCTGCATAGTAAGCAGAAATCCAGATGTTTAAGTGATGAAATAACCCAATTTTCAAATATTGTCAAGTTTTTTTAAGCTTGTGTAATTCTAAAATACGTATTTATGAGTAGTCATTTGATGTTTCAATCTCTGTACAAGTTCAGATTTTGTCTGTGTTTTTAAATGACATAAAGGCCTAGCTGAGCAGACCTGTGGGCGGTCAGTCCACACATCAGTTTCTAGTCAGAAATGAGCGTGTGAGGCAGACTGTATCCTCCCCTACTCCAGGTTCAGAACTGGAGCTGAGGAAAAGAAGGAAGAGACTTTCTCCCTAACAGATTTGGTTTCCCTGTCTTTTGTTCAGATCAGAACCTTTTTTGGTGGTGGTGGTGGGTGCTAGGGATGGGCCAGGTGCTAGGCTTTCTGGGCGGCTCTGTCCTGAGCTGCAGCCTCTTTAAGTCCATTGAGTGTGTTTTCTGAGACAGGACTTCCCTGTGTATCCCAGGCTGGCCAGTAATCTACCTAGCAGGATTGTTGTCGCACACCGCCCCACTTGGCTCTCACACCTGTTTGTTTATTTATTTATTTATTTATTTTTGGAGGCTGGTCTCAAACTAAAACTTACTGTGGTAGCCAAAAATGACCTTGAACTTATTTTAAACTATTTTTTTTATTATTTTATATATACAAGTAATTTGCCTGCATGTCTTTGCACCACATGTGTGTGCACCTGAAGAGGCCAGAAGAGGGTGCTGGATTCCCTGGAACTGGAGTTATAGACAGTTAGTTGTAAACTTACTTGTGGGTACTAAGAATCGAACCCGGGTCCTCTGGAACAGCCGCCAGTGCTCTCCATTGAGCCCTCTCTTCAGCCCCACCTCCGCGCAATCTCTTGATCCTCCCATTTCCAATCCCACTTGCTGTCACTTTGCTTTACCACATATTTTAAAACCTGGGGCTTAAAAGTCCTCCGAGCTGGCTGACGAGGTGCTCAGTGGTTAAGGACACTTGCTGCTTTCTGGAGGACTCGGGTTCCGATCCTAGTAAGGAGGTGCTGGCCGGTGTGGAGTCGGGCAAGGACCGTGGTTTTGGTTCACAGATGGTACCGGCTTGCAATGTCTTCACATGGGACAGGAACAGGGCCAGCTCCTGCAGGCTTTGTCCTAGGCCACTGTCCTGTCCTCCAGTCCCCCTAGCCACCTAAGGGCTTCCCCCTTCCTGATGTCGTCACGCTGCAGGCTAGATTTCAGCGGGAATGGGGAGAGGAAGGCCGAGCTAGCGTTCTGTGGTAAGAGACAGCTCTTGGTGACCCAGTTTCATTCACCCCCGAAGGCAGCCCCACTGGATCCTGCTCCGGATCCTGCTCCGCTAGACTAACCTTGCTCCTGTCCTGTCCTGCATTCTGGTTTCCCTAGGTGACTGGGTAGCGTTGTGTCTTTGCAGGAAGAAAAGGAGAAGGTGCAAGCCCAGAAGGAAGAGGTTCTGAGCCACGTGAACGACGTGCTGGAGAACGAGCTCCAGTGCATCATTTGCTCCGAGTACTTCATCGAGGTGAGGGTGAGCAGTGCCCCCCCCCCCCCCCCCCGCAGTGCATCAGCCTTCCAGGCTGCTTCTGCTGCGGGGGAACCTCTCAGAGAGAACTTGGTTCAGAAACCTGGAGCTGTTTGATTTCCCGGTGATGTCTGAAGGTAGCCACTTCTCATTATATCATGCAGTCTTCACCATGCTTTTGTTCCTCTTGGATCACCATTTTAACTGCAATGCAAGCCTGTCAGGGCCACACAGTATTGGAGTAAAGCTGCCCACTGATGCTGTCCTTCTTAACTCTGGACGGGTGCAGTGCTCAGTGTGGGCTTGTAGCGTGCCTTTTTGACGAGGAAGTGGATGCCATTATGTGTGGTAGCTATGGGTATTCAGGGGCCAGAGTGAACATGTTTCAGGGTTTTGAGGGTCCTTTTGAAAATGGAGCTCCCCTCCAAGTTGCCATTTGCTGCTTTGTCACCAGCTCTTAGTTTTCATTCATTTCTACCATTTGGGTTTTTTTTTTTTTAACTACTTTTTAAATTTGATCTTTATTAGGCTAGGTGGTGTGGTACACGCTTTAATCATTAGAGGCAGAGGCAGGTGGATCTCAGTGAGTTCGAGGCCCCAGCCTGGTCTACAAAGCAAGTTCCAGGACATCTAGAGCTATTACACAGAGAAACTCTGTCTTGAAAAACCAAAAAATAAAAGTTTAATCTTTATT